GCTTAGACGGGCGGCGGTAATGTTATCTGTTATCCCTTGGTTTGGAAAGCAAGCATGCGAGGAGGAGTGGAGTTGAAGCCAAGGAGGAGGAGGCGGAGGAGATGGAGCGAGGAGGGCGGGGCGGCAATGGTGTCCGAGCTCCGGCCCTCGTCCGCGTCTTCAATTCTTGGTGGTTGGTCGGTAGTGCACTGCACACCTGTGGGTGTTTGCTGTCAGCTGCAGGAATGGCGAAGATGGAAGTGGCTCACTGGCTTGTGGCTGCACCGAAAGCCGTTTGACGCTAGCTCCGATCCTGCCTTCAAGGAGCCTTGTTCATCTGTGAGTATACGACTATATACGTACCTAAAGTTCGGCTGATCAAAGTGTTAGCAATGACTCATAGCCCAGATTTACATCACGACTTTGATTTTAGCACCGACATACGGTGTTAGGCTCTCTTTGACAAGGATTGGACTTCTCCAGAAAGGTAAAGCCAAGCCAGAGAAAAAACATGTTTTGGCGATTCAGGCTTGTAGTCAAAAATGATTTTAGCTTCACTGTTTTTAGCTTTAGAAACCGTTCTCATACGTACATGTACATATTTACAGAGCTTTTAATTAACTTTTTAATTAAATTAGTGAACAACTTCCAACAAAATTCTTGCCAAAGACAACCTCAAAAGATCTGGTAACCATTTCAAATGAGTGCGTGTCTAAGACTCAAAGAAAAGGAACATCTCAATGAGTCGGCCATCCGATCCTTTCGGAAGTTTGGTTTAAGCAGGGAACGACGAATCTTTTTCCTTTCTTTTCTTTTTTGGCAGTTGGATAGATTTGATTTGACAATGATTGTTAAGCCCACTGCGAGGTGTTGTTGGAATTCTTGATTAAAGTAGTACTGGTAGACTAGTAGGTGCCCTTGCAAACATCATGATTCAGCAATGACTGGCAATCGATGTTGCCACTGTTAAGCCGTGCCTAATCAGAATATCAGATACTAATCCGAGCTCAGCTCTACATTAAGTATGGCAAGGCAAATTTCGGTGGTGCGCGGCCGTCCAGAACCAGGGGCATGGACACGTGGAAGCCGGTAGCTGCCGCGCCTAGCGCGTGTCGCCAACTCGCCATCTTCTCGTCTTGAGGCCCGATGACAATTGGCAATTGGGGAAAGTGTTTTGGCCTCGTCTTCCTGGGTCACCTCTTCTCCGCCGAGATCTCTCTCTCATCCGCCTTGGCCGATCATGCAGACATCGAGGACTGCAAAGAACAGTCGTCACGCATGTGATCCATGGAATTTTCTACCTTCTCATGTCGTCCGCTGCTGCTCCGGTAGGCAGAGCATGACAGCTGCCATGCTCACGGCCTGCTACTGCCTGGGCGCCTGGCTAGAGAACGGTCGATCACTCTGAGTTTTGAAGTACGATCGAGCTCATGGATGTATTAGGGTGGCAGCTTCACAGGTCCAGGACAAGAGGTCGAGCTAGGCAAGTGAAATGAGCAAGGATCGCCTAGGAATTTATACTTACAATAATAAGCAGACAAGCAGTGGACGGGGATCACAAGAGCATAGTAGCGGTATGGTACCTTAGAGCTTGCAGTTGCAGAGAGGCTGACCAGCACGCAAACAGAGTAGCAGACACGGGGAAAAAGAGGAACCCAACAAGGATTTACAACTGTGACAAGCTTCGGGCCCCTTTGATTTGACTTACTTGCCCTTGCCAAGCAATGAAGAAAATATATACAGTACGTATAGTAGTATTTTGCAACTACTTGGCTGGGTTATGGAGGTAAAAGAAAACGGTTTGCTACTTGTTTATTGGATTGAAGTATTCAACTGAAGTCAAATTTGAGATAGGATGAACAGAACAGGGAGTGAGGCCCATTGTTAGGAGCAGCAGCCCCAATGTTTTGAAACTCACTGACCGAATCTACTGAGGACCGTTAAGTCTCTCGATTCAGCATTTCAGTGCTACGACCACCCATGTCCCAACCAAAAAGCCTGCGTTGGCCCTCCACGCTGTCACAGTTCCCGGCAGTGTTATCCTAGACACTAATCGCTAAACGGCCTTTTTTATGATGTCAAGGACAAGGGAGGCGGGAGAGGGAGGTTATTGTTTTGTAAAACCACCGCCTCATCATAAGCTAAAGATTAGTACTTAAGAAAACTAATGCACCATTGTTCGAGTTGTTGCCATACAACTCACAACATTTATTTTAGTCTATGCACAAATTAAGAAATGGTTAGTTACTACTCCCTTCATTCCAAATTAGAAGACGTTTTGGCTTTTCTAGATATGTTGCTTTATTATATATCCAGACATGGTGTATATCTAAGTATATAGCAAAAGTATCTAGAAAACGCAAAACATCTTATAATTTGGAATAGGAGTACAAAACAACTCAAAAGATAATAGGTGGACTTAAGATTATATGGCTCTACCGTCTATGAGACAACACCGATGTATCTTAATCAATTTTTAAAAACTTGAACCATGAACAACTTTTTGGGCATATTTGGTTGGAAACCTTGAAGTTGAAGGTCCACTAAATCAGAGTTATCATGGAGGGTACCATTGCAATTATACCTTGAAGTTGAAGGCATACCTAATGCTCATATCTAAACTCTTACTAACTTATCTAGGTAGCGTATGGGTAAACTTCTTATCCATTATAAATGGGTAGGGTAGATAGAGTGGGTTATCCATGGATGAGTCTTTAGCTCAATTCATCACCTATTAGTAGAAATAGGTGGATCTGCATAGTACAAAGTTCATTTTATTAGCTATGGTTTCTAGTGTGGGACTCACATGCTGATCTTACTACACTAATCTGTACAAAATGTCGACTACTATATTGCGTAATCAGCAAGAAATTTTAATTATTTTCATTGAAATTTTAATGTATGAACTTGAGATTTTTAATTCTATGGTCTATCTTTACCGTGGGACCACATAATATCTAGCCACACCAATATGTACGAAGGTAGCCGCACGTTAAAGTCAGTCATATATAATAATTTGAGTGAACTTTTTTTGCTAAAATTTAAGGCGTGAAGTCTGTGAACGCGAGGTTTTAAATTTTAGGATCAGTCTTTTGATGTCAGATTTTTAATTATAGGGTATGGCTTTTAATGGGAGTATGCATAAAGATCTAGTCACATCAATATATACAAAAGTAGCAAGTTTTTTTGTAATGAGAAACTTTCAATAAATTTTAGTCAATTTCACTAAAACTGAAGATGTGAATATGAGGTTTTCATTAGGGGTCCAACTTGACTTGGAGCCCACATATATGTATAGCACACATATTTGCACAAAATAGTGATAGAAGCTAGTAGTTGAACTCAAAGCACACATCGTTCGTTAACTTGATCATTTTCCAAGGGGTATGAATAAGATTAGGGAGAATGAGAAATGAATAACGATGATATGGATTATGTGTGGATAAGCACGAATATGTTCATATCCTCCCGTGGAGGTATAGTTGTAAATTTTATGAATATCCCATAGAAAATATTACTTAAAATCACACATCTGAGATAATAAGCTTTCTATTTTGAGCCACGAATATTTTTAATGGGTTATTAGGTCCGTACATAGATTTGGAGCAGGTTGTCAAACTTGGGGGTGTTTGGCACGGCTCCTCGTGAGAGGCTCCTTCGGAGGAGCCAAAGCCGTTTTGAAGGAGCCACAACGGCTCTGGCTCCTCTGTTTTTCACTGAAAAACAGCTTCTCCGACAAAACGTTTGGCAGAGCTCCTCCAAATGAGCCAGAGCCGGAGCCGAGGAGGAGCCGTGCCAAACAGGCCCTTGGTTGGCATTGGAGTTAGATAATAATGATGACGGAGACTCAGGGTCACACAAAATTGTCACTATCAATCCGCTCATCCATACATCATGTTAAAAAATCGCCCTCCAAACCAACAATGTTGTTCAAAAAGTTTTTTTAGAAGCAGTTGTTCAGAAAAATGACAAACATACTACCACAGTGGGTCAAATTGGATTCAATTCTGCTACCACGGCCCACACTTCTTTTGCACTTCTGTTTGGCCCATCGTAAAAACCAGTAGTTTGTCGCTCGCACTGGGATGGTTCAGGAGAAGACGAACATGGCATAAACCCTAAGGTGGCGTTTGGATTGTGGGTTATGGGGGGGTGGGATAGGGAAATAGGACTAGCTGGAAATCTGATCCCATGTTTGGATTTAGGGAAAGGGAAATATGGAGGGTGTGGGTTAGGGAAATGAGGTGCTTATATCCCGCCGTGAGGGGTGGGTTATGGCTGGATAGAAGCTCCGAGCGCCAGCGCCGAGTCATCATCCGCCACCCCCGCACCATGGCCCGTGTGTCCTCCCTATCATACCGACCGGCGAGGAGGAGCCGCACGAGGAGATTTGAAGCTGCGCCTCTCGCCTCGCACGGCAACGCAAGAAACATCCAGCGGAGGAGGGAAGCTGGGGCAGCACCAGGTGGGCGCGGCGCGGAACTCAGCTAGCGCGAACCTGCTGGATCGAGGAAGTCGCTCCGCGCGACGAGCGGAAGTATCGCTGGAGCTGTTCTAGTATCGGGCAGAGAAAGGAGCCTCACGTCTCTCGGCGTGTACCGGAGCGGAGATAGTGCTGGTGCAGGACAGCAGGAAGATAAGCAGCCTGTTCCGCTGGGGCTGAAACGATCGTATACGATCGTTGATTATTACTGCTGGCTGGTTTGGTGTGAGAGAAAAATATTGTTCTGGCTGAAAATTTATGATCGTTTACGACGAAGCGAACAGGACGAAGGAAGTTTTTGTTTTGATTTTTTATTTACATTGGGGCCCACGGCATAACCCTATCCCAAGACAAATAACCCAAACATGGGTTAAGGAAAAAAAATCAGCAACCCTTTTACTAGCCCACCTCATGCGATGCATCGTCGTATCCCTATCCCATACCTCATGAGCATCCAAACGCCACCTAAGACGAGCAGCCTACCTCGAACCCTCGATCAAACTCTTACAAGACGAAATCTGCACCAAGGATCCGCTTATTATTCTACCACGTGTCCTACAGGACGCTGCAACTCAAGTGGAACTGGGACCTCCCATGCGCCTCTTGATCGAGCCATCAGTCCCGAGGCCTCCGGCAGTCCAGCTCTAGCACTATCCCGAACATCTCGACCACGCTCACGCTCATTGATTCTCCTATACAGCTGGCCCTCCTGTCGACGACGGCGAATCCGTACACGACGACGCTCGGCCTCATGCCAGACCCGGTGGCTTGCTTGCATGATCTCCGCAGCAGCCAGCTCCGTGGTCGCCGACTCGCCGTCATGCACCATGGTCTCCGCCATCCACCACCCAGGGCTACCGCCAAAGCCGCGGCCCAGCACCCGCTCGTCTCCTTCCTCGGCGCGCTCCCCTCTCCATCTCGGCCTTGAGCACACTCTCGACGCCCAAGTTCCGGCCCCATGTCCTGTCCTGTGCAATACATGTGTTCGACAAAATGCCCAAAAGAGGCAACAACGAAAGCCAGTACTCCCGTCAGATGAAGACTGATGTTGCTGTAGGTCGCCTTGCCTATAAACAGTGTGGATGATGAAAGCAAGATACTTTAGATACAAACTCCAACTGCTACACGATGGATCATGGTAAGTACAATAAATTACTTATTCCCAGCTCGGCTGCTCTCCTTTTCATTTGATTGTAATCATTATCAAATATCATGCCTAAGAGAATGCTCATACCAAAGTCATGAAGCCAGCAAAGGTTGTAATTAAGTGCCAAAAAAGACAGTGAGAGCATGCTTCACGTAAATTGTCGTATGGTACTGTATTTTAAAATTTTAACTGACATTTGCAGCATCTATAAGTGAGATCATGACTCTGATGTACTCTTGTGATTCTGGTAGGTACTACATGGAATAATTTGGAATTGATATACAATATATTCGTTGATGCGCCAAAATTTTAAACCCAATAAGAAAGTTAGCAGTGCATATGTTTCTCTCTTCATATAAACTAGCCAACTAATTTTATGTGAAAGCATTTACATTTGAGGCTAGCAAACATTGGCTCACCAATCGATAAAACTATTACGTTAACTAAGCAGTCTTTTCTTTGGGGAATTGTAAAGCAGAGCAAACTTAAAACACACACTTTTAATCATGCAGTGTTTTCTATCTTCATTCTTGCCAGTTCATAGCGTTTCAATATAAATTCAGTTACAAATTCAGTTTTGAGTCCTGCTATATATGGGTTCCGTAGCTAATAGGAGCAGAGTTACAAGGCAACATGAAGTTAGTATTGATCCTACTAATTAGTATACTTTATCTAGCCTTTTTTTAACAATGAATAATATATTCGATACCTCCTCTGATCACAAGCTAAACATAGGTCAAGTCTCTTCTACAGATATCTGCATGATTCTCCTAAATATGTCAATTGATCAATATGCTCTATTCATGTATTCAATCTTTGATTAATATTATGCCATGTCTCCATTGTTGGTAAAGGTTACAGAAAGAAACATTTTTATATTTTTTATAATTTCTTTCATTTCAAAGATTACTACTCTGTAATAATTTAATGAAATCTACAACTTGATATAATCACGCTGCATGAATAATCCAAGCGGTACTTTACATTCAGGAGTCTTACCTTCTTTTTCTGTATGTTTTTCATACAAGCAGTGCTGTTCTTGGATTATGTGCTGAATGTGTTGAGCTTGCTGCATAACATAAACTCAAGTAAGAATGACACATTACCTGCTGGATCTTGGGAGTATAGTTTCACTCTCCATCTTGCTCCAATTTATGGTTTGTACCACTATCAACTATGAGAGAATACTTTCCTGTGCTTTATAAAATGGCAAAACTTTATTTTGAGACCTCAGCACCTGATCTTCCATATTCTTTAAGCATTTTAAATTGAGCTTGCTGATGACGAGAGTATGTCTATTGTACCTGGTGTGGCTGGAGCAAATTACAAGGGCACGCTCATTAGTTGTGTGTGTCATGAATCATCTTAGAATTACCTATTCTAATAGTGTTTGCCTTAGACCATGAGACATGAAGACTCAGTTTGGTAATTGTTTTCAATCACCTCCAGTTATAATTTTATCTCCTCAATTTTGACTGAACAAAATATTTTCAACAGTGACAAAAGAGAAGTGGTAGATTATCCTGGAGATACTAAGACTAAGATACAATGTGTTGATGCTTCCATACTCTTCGACAAGACAGGTAAATTTTAGCATACACGAAGACATGGGAGTTGCTGCTGAAGAAACAACACAAGGTCGAACCCTTGCATCAGAGATCTTCCTGGCCACATTGGCTGCGTTGCCTTCAGCTTCAAATATACGTTTATTGTCTACTGAAAAACAACATAGCCTATTAGAAATCTACTAGCTAGAACTGAATTCTAAAAACATCACATATATCATACTGTGCATTTGTCCAAGGAGCATTGCCTTGCATACACTAGGACCATTGCAAGAGATGTCTACAGAGATAATCTTCTCCAAACTTGTATGCTTACTCTGCCTTCAAATAATTTACAAGACTACTTGCTTGTGATCTTGAAGCTGTCATAGTTTGTTTCCAGAATGAGTGATAACAAGGGGATTGAATTCAGAAATTCCTAGAGACATTTAAGTAATATATATAGAGGGGCCAGTTGCCTACTGCACGGGCGCGGCAAAGCCGCGCCTGTCTTTCTAGTGCTTCGAAAGCGCCATCTTCTCGAGCAGCTCCGCTAGCCCAGCATGCTCCGACGACGGGGCCGCAGCCGAGACAGCGGCAGCGTCATCTCCACGCCCCGACGCCGACTCCAGCGTCGTCGTCAGGCGGGCCATCATCGCCGAGATGCCTCGCTCGCTCGCGCGGTCCTCGTGGACAGCAAAGAGCCTGCCGACGCATCGCCGGACAAGCTCCCGCCTGCGGCTCCGGTCGCGGCTCTCCTGCCCGGCGCGCAGGTAGTCCGTGGGCACCCGGATGAGGCGGAACCTCGTGCTCCGGCGCGCCCGGCGCTCGGCGCGGCTGCCCGCTGGCTTCGCCGCCGCCGCCGGCGTGTCTGGGATCGCCCGGACAAGAGGCGACGCGGACACGCCGGGCGCCGCCTTATTCGCCACGGCGGCGGCCGTCTCGAGAGTTGTAGTGGCAAATGCTTTGGTTAGGGTTAGAGTAAGGTCGTCGTCGCCATCGGGCGCTACTCCCGGACAGTGGCCGGCCGTGGCAGAAACGGACGCCCCGGCCGCCGCCACCCCCGCCGCCGCCTGGGGTTGATGATCGATGTAATTCGGCGCGGCCATCGGCGTCCCAAGGGCCGTGCCGGCTAGCATTTCGACTAGGAGTCGAGTTGGATCATCACGATCTGGCGATACACTTGGATCGTGGCAGCCGGCAGCCTTTGGAGAAGCCGACGACGACGCGCCGGCCGCCGGCTGGTGGTGGACGTGGTTTGGCGCCGCCATAGGCATCCGAACGGCCGCCGCACTAGCTGACGTTTTTTTGGATTTGAGAGATGGGAAAGGGTCGTCTCTGGGTCCGGCTAGTTCGTGCTAGGCTGTATATGAACGTTGATCGGCACATAGCGAATATGCCGCAATGGATCGGGATTCAGTTGCCGCTGAGGGGCCGAACGTTAAAATTCGAGAAAATAAAGCGAAAAGGTGCAGAAAGATATGGAGGAGATAGTGGTACCCGTGTGTGACCGCACTGACGGGGCTTGTACCTGTATCAAATTCGATCAAAGCTTTTTTTTCCCCACGAAGAGATCCAGTGCAAGTTAGAGCATCATATACACGTCCGGACGTCGCAGCACGTCCGGATGCCCCGCGCCTGCTGCCCGCATCGTGTCCGGCTTTACTGTGCAGCGCCCGTGCGTGTTCCTTTCCCGCGCCTCTGTCGCTGGGTCCCAATTTAGCCGTGCAAGCTTGGGGGTGGGGGGATCATCACGCCCGGGGCCATAAGAGCAGCAGCGACCTAATTTTTTACAATTTGGTTTCTCTTTTGAAGAAAATTTACGTTTGGTCTTCTAGAAGACTTAAACTCATCTTTGGACCTTGGGGTCGGCGCCGAGATAACATATCTCGGTGCCGAGGTGCCTGGCCGAGCACAGCAAGCCATCCTAGGTGGCGTTTACGTGGCCGGTACCTTGGCGCCACAGATCTTGGCGCCGAGCTTGGCGCCATGTATTCTAGCGCCGAGCATTGATTAAAAATCCGAAACCAAGTTTCCCTTGCCGACGCTGCTCTCACTTCTTCATCCCCTCTCGGTTTTTCCTCTCCCTACCCCGCCCAATCTCTTGAATCGACGGATTTGACCTTAGATACTTGGATTTGATTCATACATCTTCGCGAGCAAGGTATCCTCTCTCCCCTTATCAAATTTTACACATTGATTTGGTATATATTACGTCTATTTTGCAACCCTAGATATGTTAGTACCTAATGTTTGAAGTGATTTTTTATTTTTTGTATTATGTGACGGTAGGATACCAAGGCGTGGTAAAGCTAGTAAGCCAAGATAATCTCTTATCATCGTGTTATATTATGTTTTTATTTTTTGTATTATGTTTTATTTTTTGTATTTATGTTCAATTGTAGTTATGGCCGGATGACCAGAAATGTCTTCGACCCGTTGCCTCTGTCTAGTGGTGTTCCAATGCCCATGTGCTTTTGCGGCGATCCTTGCAAGGTAGCCAAGTCCGATGAAGAGGACACATATAGGCAGAGGTATTGGATGTGTGCCAATTTTGCGTTTGAGCCTACACTTCGTCAGCGCCGCATTAACAAGAGGGTGAAAATTTGATGTTGTTTAATATTTATTTTGTGTCAAATGAAGTCTTGCATGATTTATTTGTTTTGTAACAATTGCATTTGTTGCAAACCCCTCCACCGCTCTGTGATTTTGAGCAGTGGATCGACACTGAGATCAAGCCAGATGACAAGGAGTTGATGCAGACACTGTTACGGTGGGAGACAGAGGACAAGGAGATGATGGAGAAGAGACGCGGAGAGGATGCTCTAGAAAAGGAGCACAAGGAAGAGGAGGAAAGGAGGCGTGTTGCTTCGCACGGGGAGGAGAGGGAGAGAAAGCTTGAACGTGCGCAGCGAGTGAAGGCAGCGATGGAGGAGAATCCCGATGCCTAGAGGAAGGAAAAGTGGCCTCGTTGCACTCAGTAGTCTTCATAACTTGCTATTTCTATAGTATATTCACGAACAATGTTGTCTAATCTTGGACTTTGCATTATGTTGTCATGTAATGCACTTTTATTTTGTCGTCATGTACTTCAAATGTTGTTATGTTGATTAATGTGCTTTATTATTGGACCTTTCATAGTGTCATTGGTTTTATTATTTGTTGTCATAATATTGAATTTAATATTGCATAGGTAGTGAAACGAGGTCACGTAGTGCAAATAAAACATGCCTTAGGTAATTGAAACAAACAACAAGCACATGAAATAGCATGTGAGAACATGTACCAAACAAGGGTACATATTTCCTTCGACTAACCCTAACATGCCTTAGATGATTAAAGCAAAAAAACAAACACATGGATGTCGCCTGTTAAAAAGATTGGTTTGTCCTAGTAGTGTGGCCACATAACAAATTGTGTTGCACCTTCTCCAAATTATCCTCCTATTGTTGGTGGTGGTGGAGGCGGGGGTGGCGGCGAAGGACCCTTATTCCTGTGATTAGGGTAGGTGCAATATGGATTGAAGGGACCGTGACGCCTAAGAGGGGGGGTGAATTAGGCAACTTAAAAATCTAACTTCTAAACTATGGCCTCTTTTTCTAAGCTTAGCAAAACCTATGCAAAAGATAAACTATCTAAATGTGCAACTACGGTTTTGCTAGTGTGTTGCTATCTCTACCGCAAAAGGAGTAAAGTAATCAATGTAAATGTGGAAGCTAAAGAGCGAGGTAGAGATATGCAAACTCCCGTCGACAACTTCGGTATTTTTACCGAGGTATCGAGAAGCGCGCAAGCTTCCCCTAGTCCTCGTTGGAGCCCCTCGTAAAGAATCCCTCGCAAGGGCCAAGCTCCTAGTCGGGTAACTCCGTGGATAGCCTCGGGCCTTCCCCATGCGCAAGTGGGTCTTCGACGTGCCTTCTGGTAAGCCTCTCCCGGATGCTCCCCGCTGTCTTCACTATCAAGCTTAGAGCAAGTGCATCAAGCGGGCCAAAACACTTCCCAAAGGGCCTTGTTCCCTCACTAAGCACTATGCAGATGGCACTAGAGGGGTGAATAGTCCACACCCAAACAAGTGCGAATTTGATGTGATCTCACAAGACTACAAGCCTCTCCGATGTACAACAATGAGCAAGGTTACACAAACCATGCCACTAGTATGTAAGCAAGAGGTATGCAAACCTCACTAAACACTAGGCCTAAACCTAGAGCAAGTGCATAAGCGGTGATCTAATCAACCTAAGCACTTCCCAAAGCACCTACGCTAATCACCTAATGAATCACTAAGCACTATGCAAGTGGAGATCACTAAAATGGTGTATCAACACCCTTGATATGTTTTCTCAGCTCCACACTCCTCAAATGGCGGTTGGGGTTGTAGAGTTTATAAGCCCTGCTGGCGAGCACAAGTGCCCCTCACAAGCAATAGTCACCACCACCAAGCCGTCTAGGAGGTGGCAACCTCCAAGAGTAACAAGCACCACCGGCTCAAACTCGATCACCTAGTGCCACTAGAATCGCCACTCACACAATCGGATGAATAACCACCAGTAACTCCGATCACACTCAAAATGTGAGATGGGGACAAAAATCCACACTCACAAGCATGGACACTAAGTCCCTTGAGGTGCTCACAAGACCAAGCCATGGCCGAGGGCCACTTCTATTTATATCATTACTTCTATTACTATAGCCCAACTTTGATCACTACGGACTGGACCGGTCCGTCTGAATCGTCAGCCAGCAGAACAGACCCCGTCCGGTCGTCCCGGCCGTTCGATACTGCCGACCTCGGACCAATCACATAATCCACACCCGGTCCGGTCACCTCGAGCTGCATCGAAATACGTCGGCTGACCGGGGCCCAGATCTTCGCGACCTTTCGTTTCACTTCTAACTTCATCACCCTTGCTCCAATGTGCTAACCACAGAACTTGCATCCACGCAATAGAAAATAGGCATTCTATTTTCCGAAAGCGCCGAATCCGCCTCACAAGCTTCGGCGGGAGGGAGAGAGGACCCAAACCCATCTCACCCCCGCAAACACCACCTCGTTTGTAAATGTGCCAACACCACCAAGTGTACACCACCATGTGTATGTGTGTTAGCATTTACAATCATTTCCCAAAGGATGTTAGCCACTCAACTTGCCACGCCACTCGATCCTAGCGACAATGCAAAGTTAGATCACTCGAGTGGCACTAGATGACCGATATGCAAACAAGTTTGCCCTCTTGATAGTACGGCCATCTATCCTAAACTCGGTCATAAACTTCTCTACACACTTTATGACCGGTGAAATGAAATGCCCTAGGTTATACCTTTGCCTTGCGCATTCCATTCCATCTCCTCCAATGTTGATGCAACACATGCACCAACACGATCAACAATGATATGATCCACTTCATATCATCCGTGATCGGTTCATCGATCTTGACTTCACTTGCCCTTCACCGTTGCCATCGTCCGCCGGCACCAAGTCTTGCTCAAGCTTCACCGCCACGTCCGGTCCATCACTCAAAGCCTTTGACTTGCCCTTTGTAACGGTCCATCAAGCCAAGTCTTGTCTTGATCTTCTCCACCTTGATCATGACTCAATGTCATGTCTCATGTGCAATAAGCTCCTTCATCATCACATGTGTGAGCTTTGCAACATCTCCAAGCCATTTTCACCTCCATGGCATATGTTGCTCATACACATGTACCTATGGACTAATCACCTGTGTATCTCACATAAACACAATTAGTCCACCTAGGTTGTCACTCAATTACCAAAACCAACAAGGACCTTTCAACTATGCAAGTGGAGATCACTAAAATGGTGTATCAACACCCTTGATATGTTTCCTCAGCTCCACACTCCTCAAATGGTCGGTTGGGGGTTGTATTTATAAGCCCCACTGAGAAAATAGTCGTTGGGGACAAAATCCCGCTTTTACACATCTTGACCGGTTTGAGGAGCCGTCTGATCGGACGTAATGTTCGGTCGTCCCCGATCGTTGGAGCCGCAAACAAGCGACGGACGCCGCTGCCGTCTGCTACCGGACGCGTCCGGCCACAAGTTCGCCTTCTGGAACCTCTCGCGATCTTGCATGTGGCTTGGTTCCTATCTTCATGCCTCTGGAGCGTTCTTTCGCTTGATATCTTAGGTCTCATTCTGTGAGCTCGTTTGCTCCTAAGGTCTTTGCTTGACTTTGCTTGATATCTTAGGTCTTCTCTTATGCTCCTAAGGTCTTGCTTGAGGTGTTGATCATCGGATCATCACGTCGCCTTT